CAATACTAACAAGAACGTGACGAAAAGAAAAATGGTTAACGACGAGATAACGAGAGAGAGGAAAGAGAATGAAAGCGAAAAAGGGAAAAGACAACGAGATATCAATTAACGATACAATTATGCGAGCAGCGGAAGAGAGAGAGAGAGAGAGAGAGAGAGAGAGAGAGAGAGAGAGAGAGAGAGAGAGAGAGCAGGCAGCTGAATAATAAACCGTTTCAAAAGTGGAGTAGGAGGATGCATGCGCGCATTGAAATCAAGCGAAAGGGAAAACCAGAGGCGAAAAGCTGCTGTTCTGAGTCACTATTACTTGATATTACGGATGATGCTTCTTTTTGTTTGCAATGCGCTTGGATTACGCAATGTTTATTGATCGATTTTTCCAACCTCGCGCGATCGCTTTACGCCTTTCGATCGGGGCATAAATCTGCGATCCGCAAAAAAAGAAAAAAAAATTACTTGGAAAAACAAGCGGCTAAAGATGTTGATAAAAATCCGAAATAAAAGTGGCCCAGCCGGCGCCGAAAAGGAGAGGAGGTGAAAAAGTGCTGAAATAAAAGAAAGCCGCGCGGAGAGCAGCAGCAGCGACCAAAGCGCAGCAGCAGTATTTTTGGCTTTTATCGCGACGCGGCACAAAGCTTCGCGCGAGAGCGACAAGATAAGACGCAGTCGTCTATCGGTGCCGGCTTTCGCTTTCTCGCTCGGCACCGAGAGACGAAAGATAAAAAAAATCCAAGATTCGTTTTTACACGTAACGCGAAAAGAAACAATCGCGTTTTTTTTCGCCGACGAATCCGCAATGAACTTTGTGTTTACGGAAAACTAGGTCCCTTTCTTGCGACTGTTACGGCTGATTGACGAGTGTGATAAACGTTATAATTAATCAAGCCTCTCTCTCGATTAGTCGCGAACGATAAAAAAGTGAAATTGATTGGCAAGCAACAACAGCGTGGTGTGCTTCGTTTATTGTTTTTGATAGCTTTTACAACTGTATGTAGCACACGCCTATGACTCCGTTTTTCAATCGACGTTTGATTGGCCCTCGAACGAAGCGCGAAGTTGAATGAATTGTTGTGTATTTTTTTTTACTATCTATACGTCCGTAGATGCACACATGCTATTTACTTTTCAATCGAATTCGAATTTGCACGGATTTCCGGCTATAGATTCCAAACAGTAGTTTTCCGAAATATATATACATACCAGAGATTTTGTTTGTGTTTTAGTCGAGATTTTTCATTTTCAAAAGAAGTAACATTAATCGAAACTATTGTATTTGCCGGTTACATACTTTCCCGAAGATTGAAAAGATCTATCGTGAGAATTAATGTTAAATATTCGATTAAAAATATAGAGTTTATAGGATTATTAATTATTCTCTCTGACACGGAACTCGAAATTGGTCTTGAAATATCCTTACTTGAGCTTAATTGGCCAAGTTTATACAGTCGCATTCCTTAAATTCTAATAATTTACGTTGCCGTAATTTTTTCATACATTTGCTCTATTTTTCTGATAACCTCAAATTTGCAAAGTAATATAAGGTGAAAAGCTACGTAGAGTTGTTCAAACACGACTTTCTTATCGACTTTTATCTGTTGCAAAGATTTTTGCTAAAAAATTGACATTCCATCCCAAAAATGTTTCAACGCAAAGAGATTTATAAACCGTTAGAGAGAGAGCAAAGGCAAAGATATACCACACATTTGGAAAAGTCGACTTGTGCTCTTCTTCTTCCTATACATCACAGGAAATGCTGTTCGACGGAGAAAAACGTTCCCATAGTTTTGCGCCCAAAACGCGCGTCCTCATTAACGCGCGTAGAATATAAATTTTTCAAAAATAAATCGCCCTCCTCGTCGTCGCAATTAGAGCGCGCACGCGTTCTCATGGCCTAAGCCTCGAAAAAAAAAAAAAGAAGAAAAAACCGGTCCCGCGTGTGACGAAGTCATTCTCTTCGCGCATCTGCATAGAGAGAAGAGAAAGCTACAACGTGACCCTGAGAGAGAGAGAGACGACCACCGACACCCGGCTTTTTGGAGTGAAATCGCGCTCGCGACAGCGGATAAAAAAAAGAGAGAGGCGCTGGGGCCTTTTTTCGTGGGGGGTTCCAGTTGCAAAAAGGATGTTTTCTTTTAGACGCCTCATCTATGAATTAAATTGAGTTTTCAAACTCGTTATTCTTTTCAAATGAGTTTCCTAGTCGCGCAAGTGTAACGCAATTGTTTATTTCAGATTCTTCTTTGAAACTTGGACCGATTAATGAGAGTAAAACTAAAAAAATGCAATTAACATATCAAGACCAATTAATATCGTATATCTCAATGGTTAAGTAATGAGCGAGATTTAATAACATAGAGTCACACGCACACACGCGCACGCGCACACATACACACACACGAGAGCATATAAACCGGTCAATCGACTATTAACTCAATTATCAGCGCGCCTCTCGCTCTCTCTCTCTCTCTCTCTCTCTCTCTCTCTCTCTCTCTCTCTCTCTCTCTCTCTCTCTCTCTCTCTCTCTCTCTCTCCAAAGTTTCCCTATCCTTGAACCTGAGAGACTCGAAAACCTGCTCACATCTACAAACTTTCTGTGCGTCTCGTGAAAGTGTTGCAGTCGAAAAAAATACCACTATCGTTGCAAAAATGAACGGAAAAAAAAGAAAAAGATAAAAAGAAAAATTCGCGAAAGAGGTCAGCGTACAAAAAAAAAAAGAGGCGAAGAGAATGGCGCTGTAACTCTCGCCATTGTCCCTCTCTCTTTTTCTTTCTATATACGAGATTCCTCTCGCGCTCGCTCGCTTTTTTTGCGCGACCGACTCGCGCGCGAGGGGTTTATTAAACTTCACGATGCGGACTAATTGATTTGGGATAATTGCTCGACGCGCGCTGTCGTCGTGGAATCTTTTTGTCGGTTTTGCGGCTGTTACAATTGTCGCGCGTCAATTAAAATCGATAAGTGCTTCTTATCAAAGTCAACCTAGCGGAACTGCGATGCGCTTACGAACGCGCGGATCGGCCAACGGGATGAGGCATTAGCCCATGCGAGAATGAGACAGAAAAGCTGAATATGCGCACGCGGAGAGCGAAAGTAAAAAAAGTTAAGAATGAGCTTGTTTACGGTCGCGTGATGATCATGCTGTTTCATTATAGAGGTCACCAATAGAAGCACGTGCTTCAGTCTGTTAGAGGAACAAAGGGAATCTTTAACACGCGATGTATTTCTTTTGATTCGAAACACGGCTGAAGTCTTAAATCCATAGGATTATTTGATTCGCCGGCTCGATGAAATCCTGCGAGGCAGGAGAACGTAATCGAGCCGCATTAATCGGGTTTGCATCGAAGCTCGTTACTAATAAACTACTATCGGACCGAGGAAGAAAATCGACGTCTCGCGTAAACTGGCCCTCGTGCCACAAACAAAGCAATCGCGACGTAACTTTATGAATGTCGGCGAGTGTAACGTATAAAAGTTGGCGGGCAAAGAGATAGAAAAAGCATTCATCCTTGGGGTTGGATGGAGAAAAGTTAGAGCGCCAAATTTCGCGCTTAGTGACCCTGAGAGAAAGGCGCGGAGTCGTTGGCGACGACGTCTGACGCAACTTGGCACGCCAAACAAGGGCATTTCGCACGACGTTCTTCTTCTGCTTTTTTCGGGCGGTTCACGAGCTATGAATTAAATGAAGGTTCGGGGTCGAAAACTTTTTTCGATTCTTCCCTTTTCCGCATTAGTTTTCCAGCAACGAAGTTGGGCGCTGAAAATCTTGACGGAAATTTCAAATGTGGCAGATACAGAGAAAAGTACTTGGAGTTCTCGGAGCTGCGTGGCACATTCGCGGAGAGCAGCGCTCGCAAAAAAGTTTTGCCGACCTGATTGTCGCGATTGTTGCACTGCAACTGGGCAAGGAAAAAAAAAATTTGAAAGCTTAACGCGCAGCCATGGAAAGCACAGGGTGTAATCTTTCTATCCTGCGGCGATTACAAAACCGTCGGACCGCGCCAATTTCATTCGGCAGGAGGGAACTTTTTTCGAAAGCGGGATAGTGGCCCGGCCCTCGAGTTCCCTGCGAGAGTTGCGTACAGAAACTCGCGCGAAAAATCTGTCGAATACACGGGGACGGCAATTCGACGAAGCCCGTCGCGAAAGTGCGCGGCCGCAAGTAACGTCCACGTAGACTCCCGAGGCGTCCGACGAGGCTGCAGGTCGAGCGAGCGAAATTTTCGGCACCTGCGCGCTGGTGACGGTGCGTTGTCCGGCACATACGCGCGCGCATGTGTGTGCGAGAGAGCGAGAGGCGAGGAGAAAAATTTCGGGACGAAAAACCGGTTGTGCCCGGCTCTTTCTCGCGTGTCTGCGTGTACGTATCGCTCTCTCTCTCTCTCTCTCTCTCTCTCTCTCTCTCTCTCTCTCTCACTCGACTCCGAGCCGGTTTTTCCTTGCCTCGTAACGAGCTATCCCGCGCGCTCCTCCCACCCCTTCAAGAACATGTTTCGAACTCTTGACTTTTCGACACGCTTTTCTACGAAATTACGGGAAAAAATCAAAATTCTTCTCTCGATTTTTCCATTTTTTCCCACGTGCACGATTATGTGGAGTTTTGGAGGATCGGACTAATTTTAATCGTTGCTTCGCGCCTTTCAAGTATTTTACTGATTGAACAGTGCCAATTATCGCAAAAGGATGCTGCCCGTAAAAATGTTCAACTTCCAGTCGACTGCGAACCCCGAGGACGAAAAAATTCTTAAAAGCCGCAGAAGAGTCTCGATAATAAATGTGACTAACGTCCTAAACAGGCCTTAACGAGGATGCAAACGCACACAACCGTAAGAAAAAGACATAGCTGCATCTATAAAACGCTAAATACCACATCGATCCCCTCGTTACACCTGTCTCTCCTTCTCGCAATTGTTTACACAATTGTTCTCGCTCTCTCGTCGCAACAATTCGCATGTACATATGGGAGTCGCGAGAGTGGCGCGCGCAACGTAAACACACTCACATTTTGTAATGATGCTGCATGTGATGCGCGTAGTCGATCGGCTGCTGCTGCTGCTGCTGCTGCTGCTGTTGCTGCTGCATCATTTGTTGCTGCTGCTGTTGCTGCTGCATTTGGGGAGTGTCCATGCTAGAAGCACCAAGGAGATTGGCACTCTCTCGGAACAGCGTGGCCACCTGCATCTTGGCGGTGCCTCCTTTTCGTTTCTCTGTCGCACACTTTATCACACTCTTTCCGCGTCACTGCCGGCCGATGCAACAATGCAACAACAACAACAACGAAACGAGGCGAACTGCGGTGCCGCCGGAGTGGCTTGCAAACGAAAAGAAAAAGCGCCGAAAAAATCAACCGACCGCATAAGACAGACAGCCCTCTCTCGTTCCCCGCCTGATTTTATATCTTGCAAACTGAAAACTGGCTGGAAAAATTGATGCTGATGCTGGTGGTCGTCGAACGATTAATAATAAGTACTGTGTGTCTCATCGCGCACACCTCAAAGACGCTGCTGCTGGCGAGCGGCGGCCACTACTACTACTACCACGAGAGAGCGACGAGAGAGCGCAGATCGTCGCTACGGCGGCGACGGCGGTGGCGGCTAAGCGGCATGGCCGCCAAGCGAGAGAGCGCGCACGGCCAGAGCCGAGAGAGAGAGAGAGCTCTCGGCGGGGGCGTAGCTCCGTCTCGCTCGCTCCCGCAGCCGCGCCGAGTTTTGCCCTTTTTCTATCGACGAGCGGCGCGCGCATGCACGTACACACGACGCGACTCCGTGAGCTGCTGTGCGCTCTCTCTCTCTCTCTCTCTCTCTCTCTCTCTCTCTCTCTCTCTCTCTCTCTCTCTCCCCCCCTACCTCCTTCTCGTGTGCGAGCCACAGGCATACACACCGACGGCGAGCCAGCTCGGGCTCTGCCTGCCTGCCTACTGCCTGCTTTTGTTTATCTCCAACGCCTGAGGAGGATGCGCCTGCTGCTGCTCCGCTCCGGCTTTGTCCGACACGCAGCCGTCACCTGGGTTACCTGCCCGCACCTATACTCTCTTTCAGCTCTCATATATGTGTGTATGTGGGTTTCCAGCTGGCCGCTGATTATTACGTACTTGTTTCGAACATTTTTGCTACGACGATGTGGAATATTTTGTAATTTGGCGAAGAAACTACTGGACATGTTATTTTGTTTCATCAGTATTGTGCAACGTGTTATTCCGTGTATATTAGAAATAAGTAAGAGACATTTATTTGTTAAAACGTTCAAATTGTAAGAAGCATAGCTTTAAAACGAAAGTAACAAAAATTTCTGCAATCGTTTACATTTTTTGCATGTAGAATCAAATACCAAAATACAACAGTCAGAATTTTACAAGAGAGGACGATATCTTTGTATAGATATAACTTTGTTAGACTTTACGTTAATATAAATAAACTGGAGTAACCGATTTTTATTAAATAATATTCAATTGAGTTTTATTTTAACAAAAAATGTTGGTACTTTTCGATAGTGAAAATCTACAATTATACATTTAAATAAAATACATATCTGCGCCTTTAGATGCTCAATCAATTCAAACTGAAGTAAGACCAAACTCTCAGTTTGTTTCTTTTACAAGTTTGCTCCGCGAAGAAAAAGCCAAACTCGATGAACGCTGTTTAGCGACAGCTTTAAACATTCCTTCTCCTTTTCTCGTTTTAAAACGAAGCAACACGCGGCATCTAATCAGCACAAAGTCCACGTGCACACGACAGAGGCTGTCTCGCTCTGGCTACAGGCGTCGCGCGTCGTGCATTGCAATAAACGCGCGCGCGCGCATTGAGCATGCGAAAAGGGTTGCATCGCAGTCGGCGCGTCGATATAACGGCGGACGGGAAAGAAGCTTCATTTTTGGAATTCGACGTTTCTCGATCGGCCGATCGAGACGTTATCGAGCGCGTATGTAGCCACTTTTTTTCCGCCGCGAGTCGTAAATTTCAACGTGCGTTCTTACGTCGTTCGCGAGATGCCGCGTTTGCACTCGTTTAATTTACGAGCTTTTCTTTTCATTCGCCCACATCGTACGCATCGTGGTCTTACTTTCACGCGATAGTAAACACCCTTACGTTCTCTCTCTCTCTCTCTCTCTCTCTCTCTCTCTCTCTCTCTCTCTCTCTCTCTCTCTCTTTCTCTCTCTCTCGTTTTTATCGGCTATGACGTGAAACGTATTTTTTAGGGCGTTTGAATTGATTCGAGCATTACTTTATGCTGTCAGGCTGTTTGTAACGAGGACGAAGGGCATACTCTTCGTAGCGTCTTGTTAGTAAATGAAATTTCGACATCGCCTTGCTGCCAATTGCTGCTTTTGACGCAGCCCACCAAATGTCAGCGGGCCGCGAGTCAAACGAGATCCGGCAATAATTGCGCGAGCCAAAAGCTACTTGCGTCGAATCACGCTGTACTTTTCTCGAGCGACGCGATTAAGTCACCACGAAAATAAAACAAAAACAGAGAAAAACGGACTAGCTTCTTTAATTGATTATGGGCCGGCGAGATCGAGAAAACCAATTGGCGTCCGGCTCGAATTCGTCGTTTTCAGTTGCGACGACACGCATACGCGCGAGCTCGCCCTAATATGTGCCAAGATCATGCGCACGCCACCTTTTCGAATATCAATCTTCAGCTTGAATTTCGTTAGGTACTTGATGTAAAGGTGAAAAGTCTTAAAACGACGGAACTCAGTCCACGAAAAGAAACCTATTCTCTCTCTTTCTCTCTCTTTCTATGTTCGACTGTAAAACAGTCACGTATACATTAGTAGCGGAGCAGCACGCAACACTCCCCTCCCTCCCCAATTTCTTCTTTTCGGACGGTCCAGAAAAAAAGGGAAGGTGCGTTATAGATGCGATCGTCGTACCGCCTCAGCTTTGAAAGCTCCGCGAATTTTTGCAAAAAGTTACGCAATACAGTTTGGAAAGGCTCTCTCTTTCTCTCGGCGTCTTTGCTATATATAGGGGGCGATTCCCCACTTTTGTCGGGCTCGCGTATTTCTCGGCGTTGAGTTATTTCGGTTGGCACTTTTTGCCATTTTGACATTGCGCGTAGCCTGATAGTAATCTTCGCTTTTCCTTTTCGCTCGCCGTGATTAGAAATTTGCTTCGGGAAAGAAAATAAAAAGCGAAGTCTCCCGCGCGCAGACTCTTCCCATGAGGAAATGACGAAAAACCTTCTTTTTCAGCTTGGTTCTTTTTCGTTCACAGAATACATGTTCTGCGCGGCAAGCCTTTCGCCTCCGTGCCACCATAGACGTATACAGCTCTTTTCTCGCTTTTGCTCGGAAGAGCAAAAATTCGAATTCCTCAACAAAGTAACACTGGATACGGCGGCGTAAGTTTCTCGCCAAACGTGGATAAAAAAAACACATAGCAGCAGCATGCACAAAGGGTCAAATTCGCTAAAGGGCCATGCCCTTCGCGGGGAGGGAGGGGGGGGGGGGGAGAAAAAGTGGAGCTTCTCCTCCCAACAACGGGCGTCTACTTCTCGAGGTCCGTGTGCGCCACGTCTGTGTTTGCCTCGCATAAATACACGCCGGGCTGGGCAGCAGCGGCGGCAGCAGTACTCGCTTTGCGTGCTCGCGTGTGCGTGAAGCGCTCTCTCGCCCGTGTGACCCTGCTGCCGCTGTTCTGCCGAGAGAGAGAGAGAGAGAGAGAGAGAGAGGGAGAGAGAGAGGGAGAGAGAGAGACTTGTGGGTGGAGAGCAGGCGACCAGGGCTGTACGTACTCGTTGGGTTGGGTTCGCTATTTTTTTTTCGTCGTGCGTAAAGAAAAGTTGTAATTTTTTTTTCTTTTATAATTTTTGACGGCTGGTAAATCTACGTATGCTATAATTTCTTACTTGGATTAACAGATAAAAATTTGGCTGCTACGCGTGATTAAAAACATTGAGTTCTGATCAGAGCGTAAATTTACGTGTCAATATAATTTCCACGTATGGGTTCAATTCTCATTGGTTGAAGAAAATTGAACGGATTTTTTTTTTCATGGAGCTACGTGCGGCGGCATCCTCATGCCTGCGTGGGGTTGATGACCTCGCTCACTCTTGGGCACGTAAAGATTGAGATCTTTTTTTGAAAAATTTAAATTTGAATCTTCACGGCCTTGATGTAACTTTATTTTTAATTTTCTTTTTCGCGAACGAATTTTATTACGCAGGTACTTCATTAGGTTACTTACATAATAGAAGATAAAACGTTTCCGATAATTTTATACAATGTTACCCTCGATAATTCTTCGTTTGATCAATAATATTAATTTGCGACAATTCTTTATTTTTTTGCATAAAAAGGCGAACACGATGATAAAACGGTGATAAACGGACACACATTTTATAAATAACATGAGCTTCGGTGACTGAATCACATTAAAATTCATTTTTATATGTAAATCAGCTGAAACAAAACCAAGTTCTAAAAATACATTACATATCGATTGTGAATTCTATTCAACTTTCTCAAAAAAAGCGAATGGAATAAAAAACTCAGTGATTCTTATTCGTCCCAAGCTTCAGCCTGTCCGTCGTCGCCAAGATTGATTTAATACGGCAACGACATACAAAAAAAAACTTCTGTTACTATTTCACGCATTCAATTAAAGTAAGTAGAAGAAGTAAACGAGACCTTGAACTCGCGCAATAAATAACGAGAGAAAAAAGCAGATAAGAATTAAACCGGTGAAAGGAGAAGGAAGCGAATAATTCGGCTCGCAAGCGAGAGTCAAAAGTTTTTAGTGGCGTTTTCATTAACCCAGAACTTGCGCCTTCAGCAGCTCGACCTTTTCCTCGCCGCGCCTGTTGAAGTAAAAGTGATATTCCACGTGTATTGAACCTCCTCGCTGCAGCGATAAATCGCGCAAATGAGAATTCAGAAAAAAAGAGCGCGTATAGCATTCCGGGCACGTGAATGACGAACGTGCAAAAATCAAGCGAACGCGACCGCAAAAAAAAAAAAAAAAAAGGGAAAAAACAAAAAAACAATCGTACGGTGGCGCACACGTAGGGCTTGTCAATTACTTTTTCCGAGCTTGTTTCTGCCCTTTTTCAATTGAGCCGGGCAATCTGATTTGCCAACTATATTTTTCGTCGCGCATTGAAAATCGCGTTCCTCTTGTTTTGTGCCCGCGCGCGCGAACGTGTAACAAAATCATCGGCAACAATACGAAAAGGCACACTTCGGCATTTTCTAGACGCGGAGCTGCATGTGGCGCGTAACGGTGCGCGAGCAAATCGCAAGGGGGGAAAAAAAGCTCAGTCGAATAAATCAGAGGCACTCGGCGAGCTACGGAATTCACAGTTTCCTCGTTCCAAGGCTGCGCGTATACGACTTGGAGCAAAAAAAGGAAAAGAAAAAAAAAAAAAGGGATAGAGGCCACGTGTTTCAGACGTCCGTGCCGCGCGAACATCTGATCAGGGGTCTCCGGTTTTCTCTTTTAACGTTCGACTGGCAGGACATCCACGTCGCTGGGGAAAAAAGTACGAGGAGACTGTGCGCTCTCTTGCTCGGCGTCGTGTCCTCGGGGGGTCTCGAGAGGAGAACATTGCATACGCGAGTGGGTGGCGT